GAATACAGTTACTCATATTTTGTATTTTAAATACGTAACAGCGGTACATGTATTCCGTTACTCCCCAACACTGCTCATAAATACTCTCCACATATTGACACAGACATGGGTAAAAACTGCCTAGTTTATTTGCGACTGGGTTCACTAACAAGGTTAACAAGTGCTAGATTTTTCTATAGCTGCAGTTGGTTGAACAGAACCTAAACAACAAACAGCATAAAATGACAAAACTAGATGTGCATGTAGTGGAATTAGAGGCAGTCGTATTCTACACACCTGACAACCAGCATAGCCAAATTTCCAGCTGCCGTGGATGTCTGAAGCAGCGGACATGGGATAGCCAATACCAGCCACTCCAATGTCAGTAAAAGCCAAGTTGATTATTATGAAGTTGGTAGGTGTGCGAAGTTCCTTAAATTTTACAAACATCAATAGCACCACAATGTTGCTCGCTAAACTGATGACACCTGAGAAATGAAAAGAAAGACAGTGTTACAGTGTGAAAGTCAAACATGAAGTTTAAGATTAAGATACCCTATTTGTCACTGTAGTAGGATACAACGAAAATTTATTTGTTGGCTCTCTATTAAACAATGGCAAGGGATAAAAGTAGCTTTTAAAAAAGACAGAAATACAAACAAGAGCACTCAGAGAGTGCAACCCCCCAAGATTTAATACGAGATTTAATATGTTCATCCAAATAAAAGTCGACTGAGGAGAAAGTAAATAAAAGTGCTTTAGGTTCCAGTTGCTTTGTCTAAAGCTAAAAAGGGTACTGTAACGTATTTAAATATGTCAACATAGGCAGTGTCAGACTGTATTCTCTGGGGCCTTAGATTCAATAAAACATAGCAAACTCATGTAGCATGTTTTCCAGCTGAAAGAAATTGCAGCAGAATTTTAATATTTATGAATATAAATGACAAAATAAATAGCATAATAGCAAATATTACTATATTTAATATTTTTAAAAATCCAACATACACCAGGCCTCTCCTGTTTGGGGCTCCAGGTTGGTCGTCAAATAGTCAGTTTTGCTTAGGCTGGTTTGTAAATGAGGGAAGTGACCCTGAAGAAGCTTAAAGTCTTGGTCTTTTAGGAAATAAAGTCTCATATCATTCAAGAATGTAATCAAATCGTTTCTCGGTCAACTCAAGCCTAACATTAGTTGGACTAATGTTGGTTAATATTGAGCTGCCAGTTTATTGTCAGCTGTCCGGAGCCCAGAGGGGTCACATGTCTTATCTGCTGACATAAGTAACTGGAACAGTATTGTAAATAAATAATCGTGTTTATGCACGCGTGATAGAGCCCAGACTTTAGTTTAGGAGATGATTAGTCATTATTATACATAGCATACTATTTCAAAAGGCTTTTTGTAGTCCATGTTCACAACGGTGTAGTTTTAAACTTATGGGATAATGTCATATTAATAGATGGCCTACTATAAGTGCAGTCCTTTTTTTATGGAGGTCAAGAAAAATCATCTATCAGTGTGGACAGGACTCATATAGCAGCACTTTTCTAGACTGTCTGAGCACTTTACAACAACTTGCCTCGTTCACACAAGCACTTTTTTCTGTGCTCTTTCTAACATTCACGCTGTTCATTACATTCAAACTGTAATGGATTTTTAAAGAGCAACTTGAGGTTAGTATCTTGCCCAAGGATACAACAGACTGGAGCAGACAGGGGGTCAAACCACCAACCTTTCAATTAGCAGGTGACATGCAAGGTATTTTTTTGACCATTCATCTGCAACCCAGCATAAAACGGAGCATTGTGCCAACATCCTATAACCTAGTATAGACCTTCCATAAAACAACATACATCAATCAAATTAAAATGTAAAAATTATATGAAAATAAGAACCAGCTGGTTAAAACTCAATAAATGCTGATATCCAAGTTTTGTCAAGAAACCACATTGCTTCGCTGGGCTTGGTTGGATGAATCCTATGACATCTCACTGGTAAAGAAAGAATATCAAAGACACATTTAGGATTTAACCATTAAAATTCAAATGATTATAACAGACTATTATCCCTCTTAACTACACAATGACTGCATTTACACAACTGCAAAACTGAAGAACATAACGCAGAGCAAACATGGCAAAACACAGCGTAAGGGCTGTTCGTTGTTACCTGCAGTGATGAGATATCCAGCCACAATGTTATGCTCCAGTTGGGTAAATGCACTCTTCCCCCCATAAGGTGCATCTTCATTTGAAATATTAACCCCAGAGTCCATCCCCATTTAGTGACCTTCTAGATAAAAACAAACAAACCAAAAATACCTGATTAAGGTAAAAACGAAAAAACTTAAAAATGATGGTGATCCTTAAAATTTAAACTGAAGAAAATTAGAAGAAGAATGCAGGCAGGGAGTTTTGTAAAATGCTGTCCTAACTAAAATCTGTATGATGCTATTGTGGAGAAGTGGTGGGTAAACCGTGAGGACTAGGGTTTATGGGATTATTGCATTCCACTGCTCCTCTGTCCCTGTTAGCAGGCAGCAATCTGCACGTAACATTGGTAACAAAGCTCTGTAAGAGAGGATTACCGCTCACATGGAGTGGCTGGCAAGTTATGTTGTCAATGAGCTTTGTCATTACAACACAGAATCGAAGACTGAAATACCTCAAACGGATGACTGGTCGTTTCACAGAGAATGTGTACAGTAGGAACAATAAAGTCTCGTTCAGTCTGGATTACATGTGCCTATGGGTCCACAAAGGCACATTGTGTGGCAACGTTTAGTTAATCAACTGTAACAGAAAGAGCCTTCAGGAAACTCCCATCAAACCATGAGGCCCTGTTTTGTAGAAGGAGTTTTCAATCAAATTATCCATAAAATATTCAAACAGTAGTGGTGTTAAACACTGTTTTCATTTGGAGTGAGAGATCAGAAGACTTGTTGCTTTGAAGCAGGCACTCTATGTAGACAAAAGCCCTGTTTCTCTGTTCCATTGGTTGAAGCTATTGTTCCAGACACCGCTTTTAATTGGTGTTTTATTCTTTCAGTCCCAAAGATTTCCATTTTGTTGGGGTCCCTGAAGAAGTACCAGTGCAGGTCATTTACCTCCTTCTGTATGCCATACCATGGACCACTGAATGGGAGCATTTCTAAATCTGATGCACATATGCAGCAATCACAAACCTCAGAGAGTAACACAAGTTTGAACTGAACAGCCAATAATTTTTATGCTAAACACACAATATCAACCAAAAATCCAGAATAAACACATTATACAAAAGCTACGATATGCATGTGATTCATTGAAATAAGTATTTGATCCTCTAATATCCATCTACAATTCTGGGTCAACAGATTGGTTCTTAAATAGCATTTTTCCTACACCACCTGAGCACTCAATGTGCTTCATGCAACACGCTTTCTATGTGCTATTCAAACCCTGATTTATTTATCAGAGAACAACCTCGGGTTAGTATTTTGTCCAAGGATATTTGGCAGGAGACTGGAGCAGCCAGGGATCTCCAAGCTTACAGTTTGTAATGACCTGCACTACCTCCTGAGCTACAGCCACCCTGAGCTTACAGCACCTGGTGTTTCTAGATGGAAAAAACACAAAGAAGGGAATAAGATCAGGGGCATTATCTCAGAAGCTCAGAAAATAGTGATCGATCAGCTTATGCATGCACAAAGTCAGCTAATAACTCTCCTAGCGTGGCTGAAAGGAGTGACTCTGACAACACAGACGAACTGTTGTCTGACTTGGTGAGGGTCGGGTTGTTGTCAGACAGGAAACTCGAGCTCGAGTTTAAAAAACTCCAGTTTCTTCGACATTGTATTGATTTGGTCCTGCACATCAAAAACACTGATGGAGAGTCCCTGTAGTCCCAAATTCAGCTCATTTAAACAAGAAATGTTCAACGAGTATTCCAGCTGATTGAGCCACACAGTGTCTTCAAAAACACCTGGACTTGTCTGTGAAATTCAAAAAGCCTAGAAAGTTTTTCCCCTCTTTAAAGCCATCATACTTCAGTATGGAGCAGAAGCTGGACATGTTTGCTGGCCATCTTATTACAGAGCTCATGGAATAGGAAAGACCAACCTGGTCTTTATGAAGTTTACAATTTTTACAACTGAGTCTATTACACACTTAAGTTCTTTAGGCATCTTTTTCACCACCAGGACTCGATGGATACTGCAGGGAGTCCAACTGGCAAATTTAAACTACTGACCTGGATAAAATTAGTACCCATATGATAATTTTCTCCTAATGTTTGTAGGAATGTTAGGGAGAATGTCTGGCTTTAATTTTATGACACAGTCCAGAATTGTTATTGTTATTGTAAACAAAAATACACTCCAAAAAACTAGAGGAAGAAAAAGGAAGGAAACATTGTCCTCTGTGATATACAGCATGAGATCTGAATGAGTGTCAGAGATATGGAACGCCAGAGAAACCTGTCGTTTATGAAAAACTGTGAAAGTTTTACTTGCATTTGGGGAGCATATATAGTGGCTGTGAAAACAAATGTCATGGTTGCATGACCAAATAACTAGATTTGACTTAAAAGCAGAACCAGGTGAGACACGGTTTCACAGTTGTTATTATGCTCAAACAGGGGAAGGTTAGTAATGGTGTTGGCAGCAGGGGATGAGCAGGCAGGTGAGAAGATGAAGGTAAGGGATCCAGGTAGGTTACAAGGGAGAGCCAGCAATTATTGGAGAATCTTCAACCAGCTGGAAGGAGACTGAAGATAAAGAAAAACCATGTAAAAGTAGGAATGTAGGAAAAATATGGTTTGGCCTGTTACCAGTAGAAAGAGGCTGCTCCTTTTATGAAGCACTGAGTGGCATCGATGAAGGAAATAGCAATGATGTGTATCCAGCTGAAGAGGGGAGGGATAGTGCCTGCATAATGATCAGTGCGGAGAAGAGAAAGACTGGCCTTGTCAAAGATTCAGCACACTCGTCCTAGCGTCATATCAACGTGATCAAAAAATGCAGCCTTCATATACACACTGAAGGGTATGGCAGCTGAGGATGAGGATTTGGGTTACATTGATGAAATACAACATGAGATCCACCTCAGTGATGATAACTATGTAACACAACCATAACACAGAATAATCCCACACACACAGGGCTGAACACAAAATTGGACCTGGCAATTTTGGTCCAGGTAACCCATCATGATCGCTGAAATTTTTTTTTAAACTATCCATCCATCCATCCATTTTCACCCGCGATCCGGGGCCGGGTCGCGGGGGCAGCAGCCTAAGCAAAGAGGCCCAGACCTCCCTCTCCCCAGCCACCTCCTCCAGCTTATCCGGGGGAATACCAAGGCGTTCCCAGGCCAGCCGAGAGATATAATCTCTCCAGCGTGTCCTGGGTCTGCCC